ATTTTCTCAGAGAAAAACCCAAATTCAACCATAATCCAACCGTTGAACGTTACTTTTTAACGGTCAAACAGACGGAGGGACTAAATGTGTTAAAATGTGACAACATTAGTGTGTATTTTGTTGACGGCGGCGGTAAATGGGGGACCAAAAGTGAAAAACGTGCAAACTTGGGGGACCAAAAATGTAATTATCCCGAGCAAATGATATAAATAATTTGACACATGTCATTCATTGAGGCATGCATTTCTCTTTTTATATTGTATATAGATACATGTAATTTGGATATATTCGGTGACAATGTGTGACTAATTATTACAATAAAGACAAAAAGAATATGTAAAAAATAATTCACCATGTATGTAAATTTATTTATAAAATACAAAGTAAGTTATTATTCTAACTTTTAAATGCTTTCATAATCATTATAACATATAAATGCATTTCTAGAACATTTAGTATGGCTAAATGTTTGAATTTTCTATGCAATAATAAAATTGTAAAACATTTCTAAACTTTTTTGAACTATTCTTTGTGGTTGGAAAACTATAAAACATTTCTAAACATTAATTTTATTTGTGAAAATATAGTGATATATTCTAGAGAAGATAATTCTGTAGATTGTTTCATTTGCCATGACAATTAACAAAAGGTAAGACCAAACTCTTTCGCATGTAAGGATTATGATTAGCATTAACATTGACATTAGCAGTGACATTAGCATATTAGTATGAATATTAATATTAGTATTTGTAATTCTATTAGTATTAGCATTAATAATAATATTAATATCAGTATCAGTATATTGGTGTTATTATTAGCATTAGTATATTAGTATTAGCATTAGTATAAGTATATTAGTATTAGTATATGAATTAGTATATTAATATTAATATTAGTATTAGCATTCATTAGTATTAGTAGATTAGTATATTTAGTATAAGTATTAGTGTTAGTATTAGTATTAGTATTAACATTAACATATTAGTATCATTATTATTAGCATTATTATATTAGTATTAGTATTACTATTAGTACTAGTACTAGTATAATCATTATTATTAGTATTGTCATTAGTATATTAGTATTGATATTAGTATTAGTATTAGTGTTAGTATTAGTATTAGGTTTATGATTAGGATTAACATTAGCATTAGTATAGCATTAGGATGAGCATTAGCATCAGCAATAGCAATAGCATTAGCATTAGCATTAACTTTTGTATTAGTATTAGTACTAGTACTAATATTATTATTAGTAATAGTATTAGTATTAGCATTACCATGTTTGGGAAACATAGTAACCTTGCATCTCAAGTAGGGGTGTGAACGAGCCGAGCTCGAGCCGATATACTTGTGAAGATCTTTCTCTATCTGCCACAATATAAGGTGGGAAGACCATGAATTTTGTAATTGTGGTCCAAGAACACTGGTGCCAGTGAAGAGGCACTCATATGGTGACTGAGTGCAATAAAATGGTTGTATTTAGTAAACATATGTACCACTACCCAAATGGTATCTTTCTCTCTTGTCAATGTTAGATTTTCTATAAAATCAATTGTAATATAAGTCCAGGCCTACTCAGGTACATGTAAGGGTTCTAGCAGTCCATGCATCTTAGAAGGCTCATGTTTGTTAAGTTGGCAAACCCCGGAAGTTGATACCAACTGTGTAACTTGTTTCTTCATGTCAGGCAAGTCAAATATGGTATACACCCTCTAGAAAGTCTTTCAGACTCTAGAATGACCACCTAAGCCAGGACCATGCATAAATTGTAGGATAGAAGCTCTCAAATTCCCAAGAGATACCACATACACCCTTTATTTGAACTTCAATAATCCATACACACAGTGAATGTAAGACATCTCAAGGCCGTATAGCTGGGCTAGACATGGCCTCTTGGGCTACAATGTCCTCAAAGTAACTGTCTTGGACTTCTTCATTCCGTAGAGGTGTGACCTCGGTATAATGGCAACAAGATGAGCCTCCAACTGACCCTCAACTGTTAAAGAATCACTATCTCTCCTAGATAATACCTATGTTGCTTTATTTTGTATTCCCCTCTTGTATTCAATTTTATAACTGTAACTAAGCAACTTTGTCAGATATTTATGCAGCAAATGGGTAGATTGTTTTTGTTCCAATAGGTATTTCAAGCTCTCTTGGTCAGTTCTGATAATGGAATACGATGAAGTAAATAATCTCTTCACTTTTGCACAGCTAACAATATTGCCAGGAATTTCTTCTCATACAAAGATAAACCAAAACTTCTAGGTCCCAAAGCTTTACTTAAGTAAGCGATGGTGTCTTTCTTGCATCAAAACAACCCCCACACCATAATAGCAAGCATCAGTTTCCAGAATGAATTGGAAAAATCTGGTAACTACAAAACTGGGGTACTAGACATGGCCTCTTTGAGCTTATTGAAGGTTGTAATAGCTTCTTCAGATGGAGAGAATTTTCCATTCTTTAATAACTCCAGTAACTCAGTTAATGATCTAGCAATAATTGCATAGTGCCTTACAAATTTTCTGTAATAACCTGTATGGCCAAGGAATCCTCTCAATGGCTTAACTGTCTTTGAAATAGGCATGTCTCTTACTCCTTGAACCTTTGTTGGATCAACTCCCACACCATGTGCAAAAATAATGTGACTTAAGTAGTCAATTTGTGTCAGGCCAAAGATGTTTTTTGTTCCCTTGGCATATAGTTGATGCTTCATTACAATGGTCAATGAAGTAGTAAGATGCTCATTATGAGTATCAAAATCCTTACTGTAAATGATAATGTCATCAAAATAAACCAAGATAAACTCCTTCGGAAATTCTCTGTAAATGTCATTCATAAGAGCTTGGAAAGTAGTTGGGGCATTAGTAAGATCAAATGGAATTACTTTAAACTCGACATGTGTCATGCCCAGAAGGAGTTACAAAGGCAGTCTTATTAATGTCTTGTTCCACCACTCTTTTTTATGATAATCAACCCTTAAATCAATCTTAGAAAACACCTTAGCCCCTTGGAGATCATCAAATAAATCATCAGTAATAGGAATGGGATAAACATCTTTGACATTGATATCATTTAACTTATTGTAATCAACACAAAATCTCCATGAGCCATTCTTCTTCTTGACTAGCAACACTGGAGATGAAAATTGGTCAGTGATGTGCTGAATAATCCCACTAAGAAACATCTGATCCACCATCTTCTTTATTTCCTTCCACTGCATGTAGGGATACTTATAGGGTTTCATTTTATTACAATGGGGTTTTTTGGGCTTCTCTTTGGTGGTAATTCAGTTGGTTCCTTGAACATATCTCGAAACTCATGGAAAATCGTGCAGTATGGACTCCAGCTCACTAGGAGAAGATCTATTTTCAGCATGTCCATCAGTGCCATCTACCATAAAAATGAATCCAATCATCAACTTGCCCTTCTGTAGCAAGGTCCTGGCCTTCTCCCCATTAATGGCCTTCAAAGACACTTCAGGTTGGACTCCTTGCAACATGATGGTGTTGCCATCTTTCTTCAATGTGATCCTTTGTTTTTTGAGATGGAATGTAATTGGCCGCAGGTATTTCATGAGATCTACCCCAATAACCAGGGTACAACCTCCAAGTTCTAGTAGTCTCACACTAGCTTGGAAAGAGTGTTTTCCCACTGAAACTGAGAGCATTTGGCATCACTACAAACCTTTCTACCAACAACTACTGCTACCTTCATGGTAGTAGTCTGCTCAAAGACACAGCGCAATCTTCTAGCAATATTAATATCCAGAAATGTGTTAGAAATACATGTGTCCACAAGGATTGAAATTGGTTGTTAGTTGGATGTTCCAGGTAGCTTAATGGTACTAGTACTAGCTTGCCTTGCTAGTGCATTCACATGAATCTTGTACAACTGATGTTCTGGTTCCTCAGTTTCTTCTAAGAATTCATCCTCACTGGACTCTTCATGAGTTTTTGCTGCCATTATCATTAAAAGTCTATTGCACTTATGTCCATAAGTGTACTTCTCATCACGATTATAGCAAAGGTCTTTCTTTAACCTTTCTTCCCGCTCCTGATTGGATAACTTCTGAAAGAATTTATGGTCCCGAATTCGTTTAGTACAGAGATGTTGTCTTAAGTGTTATGACACTTAAATTAACATGCAGCGGAATAATAACTATATAGAGACAATACTCAGATATTTAAAATGTTCACAAGTAAGATCTTGTGAACTTGCCCTTTACAGGACGGAAAAATTATATTAAACAAACAGTATTCCAAGAATACAAATGGAAGATGTACGAAAACTTCTTCCTTATGAATGAATCATTCTCATGATCATTCTTACATTCAAATCTAGAAACGAAAAGAGAAATATTGAAAATTCTAGATTTCAAATAATGTACTCGTAAGGAGTACGTACACTAGATCCTAGAAACACTAAAACTCTCGTAAATAGACTTCAGCACTCGGTTTCTTTTGTTTCTTCGAATCTCTCTTTCTTGAGTCTTGAGTTTGGTATTTATAGACTTTCCAAGCTTCCACTACTCAGCTCATGATCTGCAAGAAAACCAACCACAAGAGCACTCAAGATAATGGGTTAGTGGGTTAGTTATTAAGTTAGAAATATATCCATAATTAAACCCACTAAGCACTACTTAGCCCACTAAGTCATAGCACTTAGTCCACTAACACATAACTAATATTTAGTTTGAAAGTAAGAAAGTTAAAAACACTTATGTGAAAAAATCCACGTGTTTCAAACTCCCCCTTTTTAACTTTCTGATCAAAACTAAATATTAGCTAAAACTCCCCCTGAGACATTGCTTGAACTCCCCCTGAATTTGATAATAAATAAAATATAGAAAGAATCAATTCAACACAAATTCAGCAAAAATAGTTCAACACAATTTAAACGAAAAGAAAAACAACCAAAGTGCAGTCCTAAAGGTTCAGAGGGAAAAATAAAGGCTGAACAAAATCAAACAAAATCAACTATTGTTCATAAAAATAATTAGAGTAGAATATCCAAAGTCTCCTCAGTATCAGTTGCTGCTCCTCCATCATCAGCACTGGATCCACTGCTTTCCTCTGCTCCTTGAGCTTCTTCTTCATTCTTTGCTCCTTCTTCATTGACTCCTTGCTCTCTGCCTCTGGCATCCAAAGGATGAGAAGTCCCTGCTTCAACTTCATGACTAACTTTTTCTCCCCCTTTTTGATCAGAAAGAGCTTTCCGAAGCATTTCCACCATGGACTGGTGATAAGTGATCTGAGGTAGAGAGTGAGTAAGCTGTTGTAACAAGAGATCTCTAGGTACAGAAACAAGAATGTCAGGGATGTTATCAACATGAGGAGCAACACCTTCAGTACCAATATTATTTTGACCTGATTCAGCTGAGAGGAAATTATCTCCATTCCAGGGAAGATCTTGGACATGAGGAGATTTTAGAAAATTTTGAGAAACAATGATCATGCCAAGTGGAGTGTGAAGATATTCTGATTCATCTTGGCCCAAATTTTGAGAAAGTAGAATGGAGTAGATGAGAGAAGGATAAGGAAGATGAGTGGAGGATGAAATTTTATAGACAAGCTGACCTATATTATTAAAGAAAAGCTTTCCAAAATCAACTGGTAATCCCATCCCCAATTTGTACATGAGTACAGCATGAGGTTTAGTGACCACAGAGACATTTTTGGATGGAATCCAATTCATCACTATGAGTCTGAACAGGACAGAATAAAAAGCAGTGAGTTGAGAAACTTTGAATTTTCTGGGGTGAGCAGGCCAAGATTTTAGACAATTGCCAGAAAGAATCTTACAAACCTCAGTAAAATCACCATAATTATCCTCATCAATCACAGTAGGAGTTTGTAAATGAGAGTTGATAATTTTGGGAGAAAAAGAGAAAATGGAATTTCGTACAAAAACTTTGCCAAAGTTTGGAGAATTTTTCTTAAAAAATGAGGTTTGCAGATTGGCATAAAATTCCCTAACAACAGAGGGATCATAAGGACAGGCAACCTCAACTAGACTAAGGATTTTTCTTTGATCAAGAAAAGCAGTGATCCTATGTCTATCAAACTCATATTTGGAAATCTTCTTTTCCTCAATGAATTGGCAATTCATGATTTGAGGACTCACATTTGAATCAGATTCAAAATAAAAAGTAGGACTGAAGGCATTGTTTACCTCAAAAGGAGTTGACAGATCCTTTCCATCCAAGTCTGGCTCTTCTTCTTCCTCAGAGGATTCCTCTTCTTGGGAGTCTTCAAGTTCATCTGGGATGTATGCTGGCTCAGGTGATGCAACACGTGGGGCAGCATCTTCCTGCATCTGAGAGGAGTCCTCAGATGAGTCACTGTCTGACTCTGAGGATGGCAATTTTTTGCGAAAAGTGGCAAGGGGAACTTCCCAGCTGTCATCACTTTTTTCTGGTTCATCAGCCTGAGGAGGTGATGTATCTGCTTGAACAGCTGCTTCTGCAAGAGTTTCCAGAGGGTCTGCATGTGGTGCTGAGGGTGTTTCTTTAGTGGTAGTGAAATCCTGAGCATCAACAGAGGGAATGTCAACATGCTCGGCAGAGGACATCCCTGAAAAATCAGGCATTTCTTCATCCTGGTAGGGAGCAGCATCCTCATCAGCACTTTGAGAAACATTGGCTGAGACGGTGGGTGCAGCAGCATCTTCTGGAACATGTGCAGCAACATCTTCTGGTTGAGAAGCTGCTGCTGCCATATTAGGCTGAGATGTCTCCCCGTGAGTTGATGCTGGTGGAGGTGAGTCGTTTGATGAAGACTCAGTGGAGCTTGAGGAGAGAGCTTGGGCTTCTGGTTCTGCAAAGGTGGGATCTTCCTCTTCATCATCTGTGTCCTCATCAACCAAATGAAAGCCTCTTGGTGGGTTTTGCCTAACTGGGGTACGGCCACCTCTGTTGCCCCTTCTTCCTCCTCTGCCTCCTCTTCTAGGAGAGTTTCCACCCCTCCGGCGTTGTGACCCTGCAGTATTCAGATCTGGGAAGGGATTCATGCGTTTGGAATGGCGAGTTGGAAACCTTCCTACAGTGGAAGAGGGACCCACGAACTCGAAGTTGTCTGGGTCAATCGGATTCAGCTCGTCTCCGGGCTCAATGTAACTGATCGGCATTGCTTCAAGATTTACAGGATGAACGATGATGGCCAGATTCGGGTCTGCTGGTTCAGGTGCTGCAGCATCGTTGCGGACATCATCTTCGGCTGGAAGGGGATTTCTAGGTGGAGATGCCATGATACAGTAGATAAAAAATTGCTTCTTGTGCTTTTGATTTGAGAGTGTGAATTTTTCGAAAGATTAAGCACGAAATTTATAAGCCCTAATTTTTGCTGAGAAAAATTGAAGTGGAGAAGGTGAAGAAGTGGTGTTCGTTTTTCTTGGAGAGAGTGTGATTAAGGAGAATAAAGGTTTATTTGGGAGTTTAAAGCAAAACGTTACACATGGCACAATAAGGAGTGGACTTAGTGGAAAATAAAAGACTAACCCATGTACCCCATGACCCATATAAATAGTGATAATTCAATAATAAATAAAATAAATATGAAAATAGTAGTACTCACGAAATTTTCACAAAAATAAGAAACACATTTATTAACGATTAATAGTGTGAGAAAATAAATTTGCTGACAGGCATAAACTTTTTTTTTTTTTTTTTATATAAAACTCTTATTTTCAAGTCAAACAATTCACATGGAACATGATCAAGTGTTCAGTTTGAAGGTTCCTCAGTTACTAAGATATGACTATCAAAATAGAGGAGTTTGACTTATGTGATTATGATTGTTCTCTGAATGTTTACATGAAGCATGATCACGTTTCAAGGTGAAAGACTTCCAGTTACTGATTTAGGGAATAATCCATCACAGTGAAGTCATTATTTAAAGAAGCTAAGCTTCAGTAACTTATGTTGCAGCTTAAGATATTTGCTGAGGTGCTGCAACATATTTCAGGACATGTTTATTGAGTACACATCCCGAGAGATTTTCTAAGTTTAGAACACCTCTCATAATCTAATGCCTTTGTAAAGATGTCAGCCAGCTGATCTTCTGTGGGAATGTACTTTAAGCACACTATATTTTTCTCAACTATATCACGAATAAAATGATGTTTAATATCTATGTGTTTAGTTCGTGAGTGTTGAACAGGATTTTTTGAAATATCAATAGCACTTGAATTATCACAATATATGGTCAGGGTGTCACTGGTTAACCCATAATCCCCCAACATTTGTTTCATCCAAATTAGTTGACCACAACATCCTCCAGCAGCTACATATTCTGATTCAGCTGTTGAAAGTGATACACAATTTTGTTTTCTACTAAACCAAGAAACCAAATTATTCCCCAAAAAGAAACATGCACCTGATGTGCTTTTTCTGTCACTAATATCCCCAGCCCAATCAGAATCACTAAAACCTATCAAATTTGTATTAGTGTCTTTGAAAAACTGAATCCCTAAGTCTACTGTACCTGCAACATACCTAATAATCCTCTTTACAGCTTTAAGATGAGTGACTTTGGGATTAGCTTGATACCTGGCACACACACAAACACTAAACATAATGTCAGGCGTGTTTGCTGTTAGATACAGAAGGCTTCCAATCATGCTTCTGTAAAGGGTGTTGTCAACATCTTCAGCAACATCATCCTTGGATAGTTTTTGACTTGAACCCATTGGAGTCTTCATGTGCTTGGCTGACTCCAACTCAAACCTTTTGACCAGATTGAGAGCATACTTCTTTTGATTTACAAAAATTCCTTCACCTGTCTGTTTGATTTGGAGTCCTAGGAAGTAATTCAACTCTCCTACCATGCTCATTTCAAAAGTGTGAGACATAGAATCTATAAAAGACTGTAAAAGGTTAGCACAAGTAGAACCAAAAACAATATCATCAACATATATCTGTACAATAATGATATGGTTATTTGTTCTTCTAACAAATAGAGTTCTGTCTGCTTCTCCTTTAGTGAATTGTATTTCAAGTAAGAAGTCAGTAAGTCTTTGATACCAAGCTCTAGGAGCTTGTTTAAGACCATACAGAGCCTTCTTAAGCTTGAACACATGATCAGGTTTGGCAGAATCTTCAAAACCCTTGGGCTGCTCTACATATGCTTCTTCATTTAGAACACCATTTAGAAATGCACTTTTGATGTCCATTTGATACAATTTGATTTTAAGAAAACAGGCTATAGCAAGAAGTAACCTAATAGATTCAATTCTAGCTACTGGAGCAAAGGTTTCATCAAAATATATACCTTCAATCTGAGTATAACCTTCTGCTACTAACCTAGCCTTATTTCTAACAACTGTACCTTTTTCATCAGTTTTGTTTTTGAAGATCCACTTAGTTCCTATTACATTTACATGACTTGGTCTGGGAACTAAGTACCAAACATCATTCCTGATGAACTGATTCAGCTCTTCATGCATTGCATTAATCCAAAACTCATCCTTCAGTGCTTCTGCAATGTTCCTTGGCTCAACTGAAGATACAAAACAAGTAGTTCCAGTTAGTGCACATTCAGAAGATAAATTAGCAAATCTTACCATATCTCTGTAATTTACTCTCTCTTTTCTTCTGGTCCTTATCCCATCAAAGATATCTCCCACAACTTGAGTGGAGGGGTGATTTTTCTGGATTCTACTTGATGGTTCCTTTCTGCAGACAACATGAATTAGCAACACTTCAGCTTCTGTGCTCTCTGTAGGCTGTATTGAGTCAGATGTGGTAACACTTGGCTCAACACTTTCTTCTCTTGAGACTGGACTGTTTATGTCTGGAACATCTGTGGCAGTGGTGTCTCCTCCTGTTGTTTCTCCTTCAGCAATCAAATCATCAACTTCATCTTCAGCTGTTTTACTGCGGAGATCAGCAAAGTCATCAAATACCACATTTACAGATTCAATAATGGTTCGAGTTCTTAAGTTGTATACTCTATAAGCATGACTGTTATTAGAGTATCCCATAAACAAACTCAAATCACTTTTTGAATCAAATTTAGCAAGATGATCTCTATCATTTAAGACATAGCAAACACATCCAAAAACATGCATGTATTCTAGATTAGGTTTCTTACCATAAAGAATTTCATATGAAGTCATCATAGACCCTAATCTTAGATACACACGATTTGAGATGTGACATGCTGTGTTGACAGCCTCAGCCCAAAACCTTTTAGACAAATTTTTTGCACTCATCATTACCCTAGCCATCTCTTGGATAGTTCTGTTTTTTCTTTCAGCAATACCATTTTGCTGAGGAGTTTTTGGAGCAGAAAATTCATGCTTGATACCCTTTTTATTACAAAAAGCAAGAAATAGAGCATTCTCAAATTCTTTTCCATGATCAGATCTAATTCTACGAATAGAAACTTGGAATTGAGTCCTAACAAACCTGTACAAATTTCTGAACACTTCAAAAGTATCAGATTTTTCTCTTAAAAAATACACCCAAGTATATCTTGAAAAATCATCAACACACACAAATACATATTTTTTACCACCTAGACTTTCTACCTCTATAGGACCCATAAGATCCATATGTACAAGTTCGAAACAAATGGTGGTACCAACGTGTTGTAACACTTTGTGTGGTACTCTAGTTTGCTTTCCCTTCTGGCACATTCCACATATAGGAATGTCCTTGATCTTGAGATCAGGAATTCCTCTTATGGCATTGTACTTGTTGAGCAGCTTCAGATTTTTGAAGTTTGTGTGCCCAAGTTTCTGGTGCCACAGCTCTACTTCACTTACTCTTGAGCTCTTGCATGAGATGGTATCACCTGTTTGATAACAATTATCCATTGACTTGGAACCTGTCAGTACACAATGATTTTGATTATCAAACACAGAGCAACAGTATTTATCAAATTGAACACGTAGATCATCATCACACAATTGACTGATACTGATGAGATTTGACCCCAATCCTTCAACATGTAGGACATTTGAAAGTTTTGGAAGTCCCTCAATACTGAGTGTTCCACGTCCAACCACTTTGCCTTTAGCTCCTCCTCCATAGGTTACACGTCCTCCATTGAGTGTATGGTAGTTTGATAGGAATTCTTTTGTTCCAGTCATGTGCCTAGAGCATCCACTATCAAAGTACCATGAACCTGAAATGTTAGCATTTAAGGAAGTGTATACTGCTTTGCACATAAGTTTACCTTTGGGAGTCCATACTCTACACTCCTTTTTGGTAGATTCTACCTTTTTCTTGGAGATGTTCCCTGGAGTGTTGTGACTCATCCTGTACAACATTTTGTCAGTACTTAGTTTCTCACAGAATGGACGAATATGTCCTCGTGAGAAGTAGTAATGACAAATGTATCCCCTTATTCTGGACTCTGGAGTGGTGACTGTGGAGTTCCTGCAATCTGTTCCATTTGAACCCTTCTCTTTTACAAAGACAATTTCCTTCTTCTTTGTTGGATTGTGTTTATTCTCTTGTTTTTTGAACCCTAGACCTTCATTTTTGTTGTACTTTTCCAGTGACACAATCTCTTCGAGTTTAGTTGTGCCGGTATTCATCCTCTTGATTGCTAGAGTTGCTTCTTTGAGTTCATCTTTCACCTTTGCCAGTTCAAGATCTTTCTCGGTGATACCAACTTCCAAATGTGTGATTGTATCTTTGAGACAAGAATTTTCCTTGTTGGCTGCATCTAGAGCTTGAGTCTTCTTCTCCAAGTCACTGAACAACTTCTTGCACATTTCTTCCTCATTTCCAACTGCTTCTTTACTTGATTCTGCTGCATTCGAGGAAATAGAGTTTAAACATGTATAATGGTTATCACCTAACTCAGATATTTCAGTTATTGAAAGTGTTTCAGAAAGTGTTGCAGCATCTAGAGAAACTCCTTGTGATTCTGTTTCAGAAAGATTTTCAATGATATATCTGACGGAAAGGGCATGTTTAGTAGATTGCTGCTCCTCTGTCTGTTCAGATTGATCTTCCTCCTCATCACTGACAGCACAAATCAGACTCATTCCTCTTCTTCTCAGGGTACTTGCACATTCATTAGCATAATGTCCAAATCCTGAACATGCCCTGCATTTAATATTATCCAAGTTAGGAGGTTCAGAATTTGAACGAATAAATGAAGAAGTTTTTGAAG